TTTTTTCATGAAAAAAGTGTGCCTTTGCACAAAAAAGGTTGAAAAACACTGATCTAATGGGACCCAAAGCCTGCCCTTTCTGTTGGAATTTTGCCCTATGAAATGGAATATCTCCTAAAATATGAATGACCCTGACTCTACCAGCCTGTTATATGGCACTGAACACTTGGTTCTTCCCCTGGGTACTGGGCCAGCTTGTTAGGCAAAAACATTTTGATAATTATCGGTGAAGATTGTCAGTCATCCAGATGAAGTTGTCTGAAGGTTGAGTCATAGCAACTGGACTTATTTTTCTTGTTAGTTTGAGACATTTCACTGCTCATCCAAGGAGCTTTATCAGTCAGAGTAAGTTAGGTAGAGAAACTTAATTGATGCTTTGCAATGCACTTTAGGGAGGAAACCAGAGGTTGGTGCAGGAGGTGGTACATTTCAATGACTCTGGCTAACTAACTTGCTCTAGCTGATGAAGCTGCTTGGATGAGCAGTGAAACATTTGAAACTAACAAGAAAAATAAGTTCAGTTGCCATGACTCAACCTTCAGACATTTTGATATTGTGGTTACAATTTTTCTGAATCTCTCAAAGTACCATATGTTGCTTTTAAATTATTTTTTTTATTATTTTGAATTATTGTTAGGGTGTGTGTCAACAAAATGTTCACATTACTTAACACTGAACTACAAAAATTAAATTAAATGTACTAGATGTGTATTCAATTTAGTTTATATGTTGCTCTTTAATTGGAAATGAATTCTGCATTAGAGTAAAATAGCAAAGTTATTGATGAAAGATTATCTTCTAATATATATCTCTAAATTTAGCAGTCAGCAATAAATTCCATGAGGGAAAAAAGTTTAACTAAACCATGAGCTGCAGGCTTATACATTGTTCCTTTGTCAATTTCCTTCCCTGCAGATAAAATGTTAGCTTATCATCTCATCTAATCAACTAACGTTGTCTCTTGTTAACTGTATCTTAAATCACATAATTTAAACTGAATGTTTATTAACCTCGTGTAATATTAATTATTGTTTCAGAGCTGAACTTCTCAGAAAGTCGAAGACAAGGCTTCCAAGCTTCCTAATTACTTGGCAGTAAGACAAGTAAATGTGCTAACATAAAACCACTGCAATTTGTTAATACTCACAAACATTGTATTCAATTATGCCCTCATATGTAAAGGAGCACTAATATGTCATCGCACTCCCAAACTTACCTAACAATTTGGCACTGGGGTACTATGTAGTACAAAAAATTATCTAATTCCTTTTTAACTTGCATTTATTATTTCCAACAGCCATGAATCATTCTTCTGCCACAGGCACACAATACAATTTTTAGTGGACACCGTAGATAGTGTTTCCTAGCAACAAGAACAAGCTCCACAGACAATTTGCAGAGTTCAATTAAAAAAGAAATCTTCGACACTGTTCACACTGTTTATGCTGTCTATTTAAATTTCAGTGGGAGTCCTCTGATTATTACCCCATAAGACAGGGGAAAAAATCATTCACAACTAAACTCCATTCATGATTTTGTGAGTCTATTTAAATTATAGTAAAGCTTTCTGTATGGCAAGAATTCAATGCTGATACTCCATTCTAATCGGCAGAATTTAATTTAAGTCAGTCTCTTCATATAATCCTGCTCACATTTTCATTTTTTTTAAAAAAAAAAAGAGGAAGAGAAATTGATTCAAAAATACAGAAAACAAAATACTGGTGTAATGCAGAACTGGACTATTTTACCCTTTACAGCCCAAAATAACTTTACAATAGCATAAATTAATAATTAAAGTATAATAAATTCTAATATCTCAATAAAGTTCCTAATAAGTCAAAACAGACTGCAGCCTATCTTTTCTTCCCAAGTATATTTTTCTGACATAATTTTTTAAAAATTTCCTATTCAATTGTTCTGACCTAAGCTTCCTAAGAGCTTGAAGCAAACTCCTGGTCCTGACAAAAAACCCTTTTATTAATTTACTGTGAATTCTGCTCATTCATATCCAGCAAAGTCTTTCAAAGGAAGATTTACAGTCACAGACCTTATCTGCAAAACTTGGCAAGGAGTCTCGGAGAGTCACAAACCAATTAAGTGAACTAATTGTCTCCTGCAAACCCCACTCCCCTTTCGCTCCTCTTTTATTTCCTCTGTGAGGGGGCATTCATCGTCCACCTGTGGCCTTACTCCCAAGTCGACCCTTGTTCTTTAGCTGTTCCCTTCGACTGGCAACTCTGTACATGTGCACACTGGGAAGAGGCTCCAGCTGTTCATCTGGCTCACTGATTTCTGACTCTGAAGGCAGCTGATAACGGACATACGGCTCTGGCCCCCTCTCTGCCTCCGACACAGAGCCCTCATCAGAGCCTTTCCCAGACTCCAGGACTGCCCCCATGTTCCTCCCCAACTTCCTCACTGTCCGAATCTTCTGCCAGCTCTGCTGGCGCACCACAACTCAATTAAAACTGTGCAGCCACCATATTTTTTTCAGTAAAGTATAATATTGTTAAGAGACAATATTCAAGCCTTCAAGTAATTTTCTTAATTGCTGTCTAGACTTCTCATATTGGAGATGAAACATAATGTTTGATTGGGCAAAATCTCTGATTTAGGGTTGTACAACACTGTTCAAGTCCAAATCTGGGGTCACAGCAGTTGGTATCTTGTGAATTATGTGTGTTTTTTATTCCAGATGCAAACTGAAATGCAGTTGTTTTTGACAAAATGTTTTAGGTTTTTATTCTATTTTAGAAATTAAGATTGGATATTGTCTCTTTCCAGGGCTCTACTGACAACTCATATTTTTACAGCTCAAAAACTCTTTTTGAACTCCATATTTCCCATGGCAAAAACATCAAAGAGTTGGGAGCTGTTTCTTCCAAAGCACAAAATGTTTGGAGTTTTGTTTCTGCTTATTGGGGGAAGAGTAGCTTGAGTTCTGCTGTATGCATTCCTAGTCTAGAAATGTCTCCTCACAGTCTTGGTAGTGTCATGAAGAGACCAAGATAGTGTTCTTGGGTAAGATGATAGAGGTGGCTTGCTACTGCTTCTTCTAAAAGGTTGACTTACTACATCTTTGGCATTCCTTGGCAATATCCTCTTCAAGGCTTAATCAGACTCAAGCCGATTTCATTTCGATAATTTAGCTCTTAGCCATGGAGTTATTTTTCACAGAAGAGTCTAGGTGACTCTGTACTATGTCAAGATGTTCAGTTTAATTGACGATGTCCTATTAATTCATTGTCTTTCTTTTTTCTGTTTATTGGGGGATCCTTAGAAGGGGGGGAATAATTGCTCTGCAGTTTACAACAAAAAGCACAACAATATGAATTAACCTACCTAAGATAACTAATCTTATTTTTTTTAAAAATCATTAAATCTAGCCCATCCTGTATTATATGTTAGTCATATAATATGAAGGACAATCAAAGTAGAAGAGCCCTTAGCTCTTAGGTAAACATTAAGAGAGAGATTTAAAGTGTAAAGAATGTAGATACATCACAACGGGGGGGGGGGGATCATCTGCATTTGATTGGATTTTGATCAAAAATACAAAGAATTGAAACACTGATGAGAAAACATTTTTTTCTTAAAATAAAAAAATCCCTTGCTTATTGAACTTGCTGATTAAGTCTACATGTATTTACTACTATTTAGGCAGTTGCTTGGATGATTGACAGTTATGTCCCATATATATTTGTTGCTCTAGACCGGGTTTCCTTAACATTGATATCATGGAATAGCCCCTGAAATAATTCACAGGTCTTAGAGAACCCTTGCGTAAGTCACAGAAATGATTAAAACTTCACAATACAATTCACTTCTAACCTACAAAATCCATATTTTACAATATTTGCAATAATAGCAATGTTGCCATTGAGAAGATCACTCATAGCACATGAAAATTCTAACCATTGCATTCTAGCATTACAGAGCATTTTTTTTTTAAAAAAAGTTTATTTCTTGCAGAACATGTTAAGAAAGACTGCTCTATGCAGTAATTTAATAAATTACTGGCCTTATTTATAAGCTCAGGAACATTAAACTGAGAATGATTTAGGAGCAGTTTCAAATCAAATCCAAAGAATTACCAGACTGGAACCATCAGCCTCTTCCTGAGATCATGTTCTGATGTACAACCCCAGCAAATATGAAAATTAGAAACTATCTGTTCTCCCCTTTCAACTAACTTACCTCTTTTGGATATATTTGGGGAGGCTTTGCAGCAATATTGAGTGACCTGCTAGGCCCCTTGTACCATATTTCATTTATATTTGTATTGATTGTACTAAGTTTGTGAAAGAGATAAATATATGCCAATCACATTCTTCCAAAGATTCAACTATATCATTCTGCTATGTACAGGATGAGTAATTACTCCATCAAACCTCCAGATGAAACAAAAACAGCATCTACAAAGGACTCGAAGAAAGTGAATGATTTTAACTGCCTCCTTGATTGAAGTGTAGCAAAGAAAAATCACCTGCTAGAAAATATAGTATTACTAAAGAGGCCATAACGTTGTTTCAGTTATTCTCCAGATACCAATTACTCCAGAGGGAAGGATTTGCATTTGTCCAATAAATCTGAATAGATTGTTACTTTATTGATAATAACCAATGTACTAATATTTTTTTTAGGATCCAATCTGGGTTAGTCATCAAAACCAGAGATTTTGTCTTCTGAACTTTCAGACTCATGCTGGAGCCCATCTAATATTGTTTTTATACCTAAAAGCATTATTCAAAGGCCATTAAATAAAACAAGAAAAAACTGACCCAATTTGGTACTGTTTTCTTGCTAAAGTAAGCATGGATAGCATGTATTAGAACTCATAAACTCAAGAACCTTACCTTCGGAGACTGTCTTTCTTCTCATCTCTTGTCAGGCAACTATCAAGGTGGTTATTTATATGTAGTTCTTGAACAGGAACCCCACAGACAGGACACTCCACTGAAATATTTAAACAAGGCCAATCAGATTATAAGTTAAATTACAAAAACTTTCATTGGGGGAAAGGGGGATATTTGCTGTTATACAGTGTGCAGACATCTAGATCAATGTGGGATTCAAAAATTTTTACTACCGGTTCTGTGGGAGTGGCTTGGTGGGCGTGTTATGGCTTGGTGGGCGTGGCTTGGTGGGCATGGCAGGGGAAGGATACTGTAAAATCTCCATTCCCACCCCACTCCAGGGGAAAGATACTGCAAAATCCCCATTTCCTCCTGATTAGCTGGGACTCGGGAGGCAGAGAATAGATGGGGCGAGGCCAGTCAGAGGTGGTATTTACCAAACTATTAAAATTTTCCGCTATCAGTTCTCCAGAACTGGTTAGAACCTACTGAATACCACTTCTGATCTAGATGGATTCTTCTCAAGCCAGTGCCCTCCAGACGTGGTGACAGAAGTTATAGTCAAACCTATCCAGAAGACACTAGGTTTGTATTTATATAATTTCTAAGTTCATGAGCCAAGGTGGCGCAGTGGTTAAATGCAGCACTGCAGGCTACTGCTAGATCAGCAGGTCAGCGGTTCAAATCTCACCGGCTCAGGGTTGACTCAGCCTTCCATCCTTCCGAGGTGGGTAAAATGAGGACCCAGATTGTTGGGGGCAATATGCTGACTCTCTGTAAACCGCTTAGAGAGGCCTGAAAGGCCTATGAAGCGGTATATAAGTCTACTACTGCTATCATCAAATGCTAATGAAGCCAGCATCTTCAAAAAAAGACATGACACAATTTTTATAATGAAGCTAGTATGAACAGTTTCCCTCGCTAGGTATTACTAAAAAGAACAATGCAAATAGATTTCTGCCAGCCTGAACAAAGTGAAATCGTTTTCTTGATTCTCTGTAAAAAAAAAAAAACTAAGACTGAAATTGCTTATCTTGCAGCTGGCACAATTACTACCCCATTCATTTTTTTTATTATGAAGCAGTAGAAAGTGAAATGAAGATTTTTTTCCCCATGTATAGTTTTATTCCCTGTTTCACATACTTACACTCATAAGTCAGCAAAATTTCAATGTCTACGGCATCTAAGCAATAATATCGGTAGAGCAAACATGATTTGGTATTCCAAATCAAGTTAGCAAAGATGCTGATGTATGATAAAAGCAAGTATATTAAAGTTATTATTGCATTTTATGTCTTTGACTCACCTTGCAATGCAGAGGTACGAAAAATTAAGTGTGTTACCTTTCCATACATAAGTAATCATTAAATTAAAATTTCAATCTTTTAAGATGAACAAAAGTAGAGTATGATTAATGTAAAAATTCCACCATAAATAGTTTAAAACATGGTCTCATAATTTCCTATTGCTTTGGAACAAGAAGGCCAGCCGAGTACCAATTTCATTCAACTAGATGTTTATCAATTTTCACTGAGATTTTTAATACAAAACTACAGTACTGTATTGTTTTTTTACAATGAAAGTAGTAGTTCTTTTACAATGATAGTATAGATGAAATACGTAAATAAAAGCTCACAATTGGGTCTTAAAGGTGATGATCATCCCTAATTCCTAGAATATTGAAATCAGAATTATAAAGTCATTTAGTCATCATGGCTAGTAGTTGCAGATGATGGATTTATACAACTCTTTAAAAATCCAGCTAAATTAATAGCTATGTGTGTACATTCAGGTGGTAATTTATGCAACCTCTTCCTGCTCATGCAGTCAGAAAAAAACCTCTTCTTCCTGCCTTACAATAATTATACTTTGCATCATGAACAAATACAAATTGAAATGTACCAATGACAAACAGCAGCATGTGTAACAAGCGATCCTTATGTCAAATAACAACATACGCATTGAGCCATCAAACAATGACGTAATTTGCATCAATCATATCACAACATCTGACTCAAGTACCGTGTTTCCCCGAAAACAAGACAGAGTCTTATTTTCTTTTGACACCCCCCCCCCCTGAAAAAGTGCTTGGACTTATTTTCAGGGAGCTCTTATTATTTTGGGGAGGTGCAGGAAGTGGTGAGTGTTATTACCTCATGGCTGCTGCTGTGTTGCAATATTTTCAGGGAGGGTTTATTTTCGGGGGAGGGCTTATTTTAACGCATGCGCTCAAAAGCCCGATTGGGCTTATTATCCGGGGAGGTCTTATTTTCAGGGAGCTCTTATTATTTTGGGGAGGTGCAGGAAGTGGTGAGTG